CCCCCCCCCCCCCCCCACACACGCACCTCGCCGTCTTCCTTCTCAGTGCAGATCTTTGGCAGCAGCACCGTGGTGTAGTACTGCTTGATCCGCTCGTTGACGTTTATCCGGTTCGGCTTGAGCAGCTCCCGGTAAGGCCGCCCCGGCAGCAACGGCGGCGGGAGTGCCTCGGGAAAGAAGGCGTTCTCGTCGGGGCAGTTGTACCGCCGCAGCCGCGCGTGCAGCTTCTCGGTCTCCATGAGGAAGAAGTCCAGAAAGCTCTGCGGGAACTTGTCGGTCAGGCGGCCGGGCTCGTACACCGAGGGGTTGTGGGCGAACTGTGCGCGTTCGATGAGTGCGAAGATAATGGTCTCCTCCTGCCGGATGAGATCTCCCCGGATGTGGCTGAGCTCGAGGCCCGATGAGTTCTCGGTGCGGTAGTAGATGGTGGGCGCGTGGCCGCCCGCATGGTGGCCATGCTGATGACCAGTGGACTCTGCTGCGGCTGGTGACGGCTCGGCGGGAGAGGGCTCGCTCATCAAAAATGATGATGCAGTCGATGATGCAGAGCAGCTGCAACAGAGAGGGCTCACAGATCTGACACACAGCCAGAGGAAGACGGCTGTTTTCATACAAAAAGCTCGCAAATTGCGAGCTTAGCGAAGGGAAAGGAAGATGGGGATGTCCGCCCTCATTTTTGTCATCGCGATGGCGTTGGCACCGCTCTTAGCTCTGGCGGCCACTCATGGCCTCTCCTCACCTCTGTCACCCATCGCAGCAGCTCGGCAACAGCAGCAGCCGCGGCAGCAGCATCGGGTGGATGGACACCCGCGTGCATCGTCCCTGCTATCGTTCGTGGCAGCGCCGCCGGCTCCCTCTCCCGCCCGCCCTCTGCTTGATCTGTCAGGGCCGCCGATGTGCCCCGACGCACTCGACGATGTGCGGCAGAAGCTGACGCTGCTCTACCAGCAGGAACCACCCAGACCTTTCAATTCATCCGCTACCCTTCCGGGCAGGGCGCAGTTGTCACACCTACCACCACCACCAGCAGCTGCTGACGATCAGGGGGGGCGGTGGCTATCCCTTCCTGACAGCCTGGCGTTGCCTGACCATTCTCAGGTAGCCGAGCGTTCTCCGTCACTGGTGGGTCTTGGTGAGAGGAGAAGATTGAAGAGGCCGTCGGAGGGTTGGGGTGCGAGGAGGCGGCTGCTGCTGCGGCCACTGGGCGGCGAGAGGAGGCGGGCTGAGATGCTCACACGATTCATGATACGCAGGTGGATGGCGGGGGATGACTGATCGGCAGATATGCACGTGTGTTGCGCTGGTGTGTTGGTGGTTGATTCAGAGAGTGGCATTCGCACCCATGGTACGAGAGCCCCCGCGGCGAGTTTGCGCCAGAGGAGCTGCAGAAACTCTACGCACCCAGCCACGTCGAACGACTCAGACAGCGGTGCGCATGCATGCACGCACGCACGCACGCAGACGGACAGAAAGAAAGCGAAGCTCCGCATCCATCCATCATGTGTTCTCTGCGCCCCCCGCGTGTTGTGAAGGTTTGGTGGCGACAATGCGCATGACGAGGCCTATGGTGCGATCTTCAAGCTGGAGGGCGTCATTGTGGACTTTGTGGCGCTGGAAAAGGAGGTCAGTGAGTGAGTGAGTGGAGCCGGGCCGCCCCTTGTGTCTATGCATTGGAACGTTCATGTGCATGTGTGTGTGTATGTGTGTGGATTTATTTGTAGGCGTGGCGTCGTGTGGCCGAGACGAATGGCAACCTGCCCGCACCGACAGAAGAAGACGCAAGGGTGAGTGGGATGAATGGAATGACCAACGTGCGGTTTCTCTCTCCATGGCATGTATGTGCCATGATGTTATCATGTGTGTGTGTCCATGTATGTGTCACTCAGCAATCGGCGTCTGTTCACCCCGAGGAGGCGGCAGACAAGATCCTCCTCTGGACCATCGTCGGCGGCACAAACCAAACCACCAAAGAGGTCAGCCACACAGCAGGCAGGCGCCGACTGTGCATCCACTTCAAGAGACTGTGTGTGTGCACCCAACCTTGGGTGCTGTGATGCATCAGGGCATTCAGTACGAGGGCGAGTTCTTCAACGCGCTGCAGCAGGTCTACCGCGAGAGCCACGGGGCGCTGAGGTTACAGAGGGGTGTGCAAAAGTGGCTAGAGATACTGAAACAATACAAGTAACCATCCCAGACGGCAGGGACGCATCGCATGCATGGGGGGCAACGCGTTCTCCATCTTCCTCCCTCCCTCCCTCCCTCCCTCCCTCTGTATGTGTGTGTGTGTGTGTGTGTGTGTGTGTACTTACAGGGTGCCCTGTGGAGTGTTCTCGACTCGGCTGCGTTACGACCAGGTGGTGGATGTGTTGGGAAGGGCAGGTGTCCCAAGAGACCTGTACTTCGACGACACCATCGTCAGCTGGTCAGCAATCTCACCCACCCCCACCCACCCACAGGACCCACAGGTGGTCATCCATCAATGGTTTGACCTGAGTGTGTTTGTCTTGTCAGTCTGGACGACGGCCATGTGGGTCTGAATTGGCACGAGCAGGCCTACCTGCACGCGGCGCAGAAGATGATGCGCTCGCCAGATAGGTGTGCCGTGTTCGTCGACTCGCCCAAGGGTGCGTGAGGAAGATCAATCAGGCGGACAGGACAGGATGTCTGGTACATTGCACATGTGCATCTATCTGCCTGTGTGTCTGTGACGTTCGTTCAGCGGTAGTGGCGGCCCACGACGTGCAGATGAAGGCGATAGCGGCGGTCAACACGGGTGGCTACTCGCAGTGGGAGCTGAAGCTTGCCGACCTGCAGATACAAAACATGGAGGACCTCTCCATCATGAGCCTCAGGTCAGCCCTCCCTGCCTATGGACACACACGGCTTGCAGCATTGTCTGTGTCTCTGTGCTGTGTGGTAAAGGCGAGTGTTCAGCGACCGAGATTTCGAGCGCGAGAAGCCCGAGGAGGAGACTGAACCCGAAAAAGAACCCGAAGAGCCCTCCAGATGGACACCCAGATAGATAGATGCACCCGTGTGTCTGTGTGTACGAAGAACCTGTGCACCATGTGTGTGTATTCTAAGCGAGATAATGGAGTGAGTGAGAGGGAATTGAGGCGGGATTGGGCAGCCAGGGAGGTCAGTCAGATGTGCGTATTGGTCCCTCCCTCCCTCCCTGCATCCCTCTCTGGCCCGCCCCTCGACGGTCTTTTCACTTTCGTATGTCGGCCGGCCGCTTAGTGTATGAGCGTCCATGGGCACGACGGGCTGCACGACTCGACGGAGAGGCTGCAGGCAGTGGGCTCGGCAATCCATTGCCTGCAGCCTCTCCGGCGACTGCCCAAGCTCGTCATGCATATGCAAACGCGCCTGCCTGCCTGCCTAATGCCATCGCGATGGAAGACGAAGACAGCTTGTAGATACGACGTAACTAAGCAGATGGATGGATGGATGAGTGCAGCGCAGTGAGGTTGAGCTGAGTCGGTGTGCTGTGTGGAATGCAGTCATCCACTGCCTGCAGCCGCTAGAGAGGCCAGACAGACGAGTGAGCACAGCGGGTTTTTGACGCGCCCCTTTGATTTGCTTTCACCTTTTCTGGACAGAGAGAAGGGAGAGAGCGTGAGTGCATATTGTAGTGTGTGTGTGTGTGTGTGAGTGAGAGAGAGTGAGGCGTACGTACCGATTTGTACAGTAACGATGTGTGCACCGCACCGCGGCGGTATGCCTCCATATATGCAGGCAGCGGCTGCAGTAACCGCCTCATCATGAGTTTGCACAGACGACAATGAATGACATCAAGTCAAACAGTCTCTGCACCCGCTTAGGGCAGCACGCACCAAAAACCCTCCAAGCTCGGCCTTTCTCCCTCGACGCGTTTTCCATTCATCCATCGTAATTTATCCGCAATGGCGTGGCTGTGCAGCGGATCCCTCGCCAGGGCAACCCTGGCTGCCCTCGCCATTCTCCTCATAGACGCACCGCGTGTTGGCGGTACCCAGTCCAATCAGACACAGACAACAAAGCCGCCAGCCACCAGCACAAGTACCACCACAACAAAGCCTCCCACAACAACTAGCACAACAACAACCACAACCACAACCACAACCACTACGACGCCTGCGCCGACACAGATGCCGCACTGGGATTACGGCCGACAGGTGAGGAGGCTGCGCTGCTTGCATGACACCATGGTCAGTGATATGATCTGTGTGCATTCATTTTGTAGGGCGCAGATTGGACCAACATCGGGCAATGCGGCAACACGGCGAGGCAGAGCCCTATCAATGTGTAGGATGGTTGGATGGATGGATGGATGGATGAATGGATCAGGGCAGGAGGAAGCAACCATGGAACTCATGGGTGGTGTGTGTATTTTGGTTTGTGTGGCATGATGTATGTGATGACACAGCGACGACAGCAAGGCCATGACGATGGACAAGACCTTCCAGTACAGCTACAAGCCGCCCGCCAAGGTCATATTCCTCAACAACGGACACACTCTCGAGGTGCCCACACACAACACACTCACTCACACACACACTGTATGCAGACAGACAGACAGAGAAAGATGGCCTCTCTCTTGTGTGTGGTCGCATGTGTGTGATCATGTGATCAGGTGAAGGCGACGGGTCTTATTTTCGGCAATCTGACGTTTGCGGGTGCCGAGTATGTGCTGGAGCAGTTGCACTTCCACGCACCCACCGAACACACATTCGGGGGGCCCACCAAGCACAGAGAACTAGAGGTAGGTGACCTAGATGCGATGGATGCGCAGGGCCAGCAGAGAGAAACACAGACAGACGCATAGATACATGTGATGTGTGCATGGCTGGCTGGGTAAAAACTGCGTATGGTAATCAGATGCACCTGTTGCACCTCAATAAGGAGGGTGCGGCAGCGGTAGTGTCAGTGACCTTCACATCCAGCGGGGCGACAGCCGCACACCCACTGCTCACATTCCTGGGCCAAAAGGTGAGGTGCGGGGCGTGTGTGAAAGAAAGGCGTACCTTCCCTGCCGTTCGTCCATCTGTCCATCCATCCATCCTCTCTGGACGTGTGTTTTGTGCAGCCGTTGCCTGAGTCTGGTGCTGAGGTTGAGGTGAACGTCAACTTTGAGCAGTTTGACCTCAACAACCTCATCAGCGACACCGACATATTCTACAACTACAAGGGCTCACTCACCACACCGCCTTGCTCAGAAACCGTCGAATGGTGCGCAGCGCACGTCGATGCGATGCGATGCACACACCGCATCGACGGTGCCATAAACACGGTCTGTGTGTGTGTGTGTCTGTGTGAGTCAGGTTTGTCATGAAGGACCCCCTGTTCGCCAAGAAGGCGCAGCTGGACGTCTGGAAGAGCGCACTCGCATACCCAGGTAGGGTAGGTGCCTACCTGCCTGGGTACCTACCTGCCGCAATCCACGCATTTGTTTCTCCATCCTCTGTGCTGTGCTGTGCTGTGCGTGTCTTGCGTTGCGTGTGGGCATGGCATGGCAGGGAGCAATGGCAACTATCGTGAGATCCAGAACAGTGAGGGGGCCTCGCGCAACGCCCAGCCGCTGACAAAGGTGACGTCAAGATACGTGGCCTCCGGCCTGCTAGTGTCCGAGCTGCCAGGAAACGTCAGCAAGGTCAGTCGGACACACAGACAGAGATATAGGGAGAGAGAGACGTGATCTCTATAGTATGGGTGTGTGCAGAGTCGCTACAATATGGGTTGGGCGGCGATCGTGTCGCTTGTAGCAGGCATCGTCGTGCTCATGGTGGTCAGCTCAAGGACCGCACCGCACACACGTGTCTGTCTGTCTGCCTCTCTCTGTTTGTGTGTGCTAATTGATGTGTGCTGCAATGCAGTTGATCATAGGTGTGGTAGTGTGGTGTGTGAACCGCAACAAGGACGCCGAGGGCGAGGGCGCCTACATGCTGCAGCCCAACCCACGGGTCCCCTACGTCGAACAGAGGGCCAGCTTCCCTTACCAAGAGGAGGAGGAATGACAGACAGACAGACCTCGCAGACTCACAGACTGGCCGACAGGAATGAGCACTCGTGTGCTCATTCTGTCTGTCTGGGGTTTTTGTATTTATTTCCCCGTCTCTCTCTCTCTCTCTCCCTCTCCCTCTCTGTCAATAGCTTGGTGCGATAGTTGTTGCCTTGTGTTGTTTGCCTTGCAATGGGGACCTCTTTGCGTATGTGTGTGTATGTGTGTGTGTGTGTGTTGTGTTCATTGCTCTGCCTAGCTGGCTGGCCAGCTGCCTTCACACGATCGCTGGTGTCAGTCATGTGAAGTATGGGTGGGTGGGATGGGTGCGTGAGGTGAGTGGGCTGTCTGTCTGTCTGTCTGGTGCAGTGCACGCCAGTCAATCAACGGAGGCTATCTGTCTGTCTATAATGTTTGTATGCGTGTGCAGACCGCCTGCCTACATTTTGTGTTGTGCATATGATGCCTCTCTCTCTCGATGCCTAGCTTTAAGTTGACGGAAGGCGTGACGTACGTAATGGACCCACCAACTACTCAGATGTATGTGCATGCGATCGATGCGGCTTTATTATATCAACGTGTGTGTCCACAGGACAGCCCTGTGCGTGTGTTGTGTTGTTCGGCTGAGCCATTCATTCATCAGTGGCTGGTGGAATGTCAGCTAGTCAGCAGGCACTCGTGTTATAAGGCTGTCAAGGGGGCCGGGGGCTCTATTCGTCCCCCAATCAGCTAGCTAGCTATCAACGAACGCTCAGCCAGACAAATAAAGGCAAACAGGCAGGCAGGCAGGCAGGCCGCAAAGCAACAGCCACCCCACGGGACATCGATCATTGATTGTATGTCATAGCACGACAGCACAAACACTACATCATGCGCACAGCACCTTCTGCACCTAGTTAGCCGTTCAACCCATGTGTGGTGTGGTGTGTTCATGGGATGCATCAATCAGCCGATGGATAGATAGCTGGATGGCCAGATGGATGGATGGATGGATCACCAGTCGACGAATGGGTCGCTGGAGGCGGATATGGCAGGCGGAATGTCTTCGCTGTCCGGGTAATCCTCGAAGTTCGACGTGTCGTCCTTGCTCTGAATGAAGCAATGCACACAACATCCATCCATCCATCCATCTGTGTGCACCTCTACCACTCGCCACCCCGTCCGCCTTCTCCCCTCCCTGTGTCTCTCTCTCTGTCTGTCAGTCTGTCTGTCTGTGCATGTCTCTATGTGTGCTTGAGGGGACTGTCTGTGGGTTTGCTTGACCTTGACGACAGGTTTGGATGGTGCGGGTATGCGTTTGGCGAGGAGGTCCTCGAAGGAGAAGCCCGTGAACCACTTGTGCTTCTTGATGTCCTCCACACCTGCCTTCAAGTTGCCGTACCGCTTCCCCAGGTCAGCCGTCAACAGCTTCTTGATCAGAGACTTGGCATTTCTGGGGACAGACAAGCCACACACAGATGGACAGATGGGGAGGTCTCTCTTAGTCTCTGTCTCTTTGTCTCTCTTTGTATGTGTATGTGTGTGGGGTGAAGGCATGACTACTTGTCAATGAATTTGGGGAAGACGATTTTGCCCGCGAGAATCTTTTGGTAGATGCCCATGGGATCCTCGTCGACGAAGGGCGGGTAGCCCACCAGCATCTCGTAGATCAGAATGCCCAACGTCCACCAATCCACAGGCTTGCCGTGACCTTCACACACATACACCATAACACAACACAACACACACAGGGAGGCAGACACCTTATTTATGCGGTGCGTCCGTGCACTGTGGGGTGGGTGTCTGTCTGATGCAGTCAGTCTAGTCAGTGTGTGCTTACCTTTGTTGAGTAGGACCTCAGGTGCGATGTATTCTGGTGTGCCGCAGAGTGTGTAGGTGCGGAACTCGATGATCTTGGCAAACCCGAAATCCGTCAGCTTCAGGTACCCGTCGCGGTTGATCAAAATGTTCTCCGGCTTCAGGTCCCTTATAGCATAGCACACACAGAGAGAGACCACCGACGGCATGATAGATGGATCTCTCCCCCTCTCCGCCTTTCTCTGTCTGTGGGTGTGGTGTCTCGATATATAAGGAGAGCGCACCGCACCTGTAGATGATATTTTTTCCATGGAGGTAGTCGAAGATGGCCGTGACGATGCCGGCGTAGAAGCGCGAGGTGTCGTTTTCGAAGCGGCCGGTCTTGCGGAGGTGTGTGAAGAACTCGCCGCCCACGACGTACTCCATCACAATGTACAGATACCTCGGGTCGTGGAACACCCCGTGCATGTTCACCTAGTGGACACGCACAGTGGCAGGGAGGGAGGGAGGGAGGGAGGCTGCAGTGGGGTGGGGATGGTTGTGGGTGTGCTACGTACGATGAATGGGTGGTCGAGTGCTGCGAGGATGCTCTTCTCGCTGTTGATGTGGTCGACCTGCTTCTGGCGGATGACAGCCGCCTTCTTTAGCCGCTTGATGGCCACCGGGTCCTTGTTGGCATCGCCCTTCCACTTGGCCAGAAACACCCGACCAAACGAACCTGTGCATGACCACATGCAGCCACAACCCACATACACAACACACTCAGCGTCATGCAATTACGCCATTCCTGCTTCTGCTCACCCGTCCCCAGGGTCTTTTTGAATTCGAACTGGTCAAACGAGAGCTTCTGAGACATTTTCAGAACGCCTGTATGAGTCGAGAGGGGTCAGACGGGGCGAGTCGGTGAAGGGAGGGCTGGCCCGGGCGGCTCACACGCACGGCCTGCGGTCAGTATGGTGCCCGGCCAAGGGAGCTGACGGGAAGGTCAGGATGCAACCGCGATGCGATGTGGTAGGTCTTAAGGCCTATGGTCCGAGGGGCTCCCTCTCACACTCACGCCCCCACGCCGCCCCCCACATCTGCGATCTTATCTCGCAGCACTTTCCTTCTCCTTCTCCCAAGGGCTGTGACAACCGTCCACAAGGCTGCCCCACATAGGTTTGTGTGTTCCCAGTGAGATTGTCCATGCCCCCCTTCTGCTACCGGAAGCTGTTTGCCCTCATCGCTGTCTTTGTCGCTGTCCTGGGCACGGCGGCCGCTTTCTCCGTATCAAGGCTGCCGTTCACCAGCACCAACAACAAGGTATGCAGACACATGCATGCGCTGATGCCGGACGAGGTCGCCACAGCGGCCCCCATTGCAGTGCGAGGGAGTGAGGGCCTGTGTGTTTGGTGTTAATCCGTGCAGATTGTCGACTCCAGCATCAGCAGCAGCAGCAGCAGCAGCAGCAGGGGCCATCGTCATGGCAGGGGCAATACCATCCTGGCTTTCCCTCTCCCCGCCAGTCACGGTGACGATGAGGCTTTTCACCCACCTGCCGACCCTGTCTACAAGGCCGATGCGGCCAACAGCAGCCCATAGCACAAGCCTACTCACAGGCCTGCTCCTACCTATAGGCCGCCAACCAACAACACCGAAGAATGATAGGAGGAGAGAGCACATGGTGAGAAAGACTAAAAGAGGAGCCGTAGGGTCTGGCTGTTCGTTGAGGATGGGCATGTGTTGGGCGTGTGTGTGTCAGTCTGGTGGACTGAAGCGACATGGTGCTGTGTCACATCGCATACCCGCATTGAGTTCCGTCGCCTGTCTGTGCCTTTGTGGTGGTCTGTGAATGAAGAAGCCCCATTGCTATGGGTGGTCTGCTCTGCCTGAATGGAGCTTCTGAGCCGAGCTTTGCTCACGCAAAAAGGCCAAGACTGCCTTCCTTCAGGGGGCAGTGAGTGACTCTCTGTCTGCATGAGTGCAGTGGACGCATGCCACTGCTGCCGTCTGTCAAATCGACCCATCGTCTTTGTCTCACTTCAATACTCTCACACACGCAGAGGCACGAACCAAACCCACTCACTGTACAGGCCCCATACAGCATGAATCAAACCAGCACCAATCGTCACTGTGAGTCTGTGGTGAGTTCTCTGGTGCTGTGCAAGTGTGCACGCTCTGAGCCACACACCACTCTGAGCCGCACAGTCACACAGCTCAAGAGAACTCATCACATACTCAATACGACAAGGCACCAGCAGCAAGCCTATCACCGAAATAACACTTGCACCATCTCTGCCGACCCTCCATCTCTGACAACCCTCCGTCCGCAGCAGCAGCAGCAGCTTCTGGTTGCCAATGCATCGACAAGAAAGCACCAGCCACCAGATCTTCGTCGCGCATCATCATGATCTCATGGCCGCTCGTTGAGTCAGTCAGACGTATTTTGGGTTCTCGGGCATGTCAGCGAGGTGTCCGAATTGGGCGATGGCAAGCGCAGCGACGACGAACCCCGCCGCCCGACAGATGGCCTTCCACTTGGGCGACAGGTACTCCTTGGGCGGAGCACGCATAAACGGCATCTGCATCATCTCGAACGGGGGAGGAGAGAGGGGGAAGAGACCGAGTGTTGGGGAAGGCGATGGGGGAAAGGCAACTGCGAGCTGGGAATGCCGTGAAACAGATCTGTCTGAGAGCGGCTCTGAGAAGGTTGAAGGAAGGGAGGTCCACAGTCATTTTGTAGCATCAATTTTGCTGATTTCATCGTATCGATCGCAACAGACAAGCAAGGCACCTTGATGCTGAATGCCCTTGGAGGGCTCTCCACTCATCGCCGCACCGTCTAGCGTCCGCAATGCTTCAGCGGCTGATCGCATGGAGCCTGTGCTGTGCCGCGGCAGTGTTGGTGCTGCTGATCTGCCTGCGGGAACAGAGGCAGCCTATCGCATCTGACAGACATGATGGAACAAGCCGTGACGGTGAGGAGAGAGAGAGAGAGATGGCGTCATCGGGTGCATTCTTGCTCAATGATTCTTCTCTGTCGGTGTGTGTGGCTGTGTGTCAGGCTTTTCAGAATTATGGCACCCCTCCGTCCGCCGGCTGCAGGTGGCGGCCGCTCCTAGTGGTACTGACATGTGCAGCCCTATGTGTGGCTGCCTGGGGGTGGCCAACGTCTTTGGGCAGGGCCGCAACTGCACCAGGGCCATCACAGCAGACCCCAGAAGCCTCTCATCGGTACACACACACACACACACACATGCAACCAACATCCGTGGACTGGACCATCGTCTTGGCGTTTCGTTGCTTTGCGTGTGTTCTAATACAGCCATGGTGTTACGTGAGCTGCGCGTGTCCGAGTGCCATCCGGTCTCTGCAGATCCGCAACACATGCGTCGCATACGACTGCTGCACCACACCAGAGCCGCAGAGCAGCGGTGCGCCCCTTAACAACGGCACCCAACCCGTTGAGCAGTCACCACCCCCACCTCCCCCGAGACCACGTGTCCGCTCCCGGACAACTGCGCCAGGAGCGGGGAGTGACGGCCCACAACAAGCAGAGGACGAGGGTGAATTTTCCTACTACAGGCGCGACGGCACACCTATCGGGAACGATCTGGCTGACGGCGTGACTGAGGAGGGGGGGCAAGTGACGGCTTCCCCAGAGAGTGAACGTGGTGGTGGCAACGAGACGGAGAGTGAGCCGACCCCGGCCGAGCTGCTTCAGGAGGCCTCTGACCTCATTGAGGAGCTGCTGGAACGGCTGGGCGGCGACAATGGGAGTCTGCGGCGGCAGCTCAGGCCAGGTGGGAAAGAGAAACGATCAGAGGAGCCTGCCTGCCACCATTTCTCCTTTGTTGACTGTGTGGTATATATGGTTTCAGACTCCTCTACCCCTTCCCGTGCTCTCCAGGTCGCCGCAGCTGGCCCAGCGTGCTCCCCCAGGTGCCGCTGCCTCGGCGTCGTCAACCAATTCAGGCAAGGGGCGTCCTGCGCCTCATACGTCACGGGCGACCCCCGCACACGGACCAGCAATTGGTGCTACGTCGACTGCGGATGCCCGGGCAGCGAGCGGGCCGTGCAATTGCCGGGTGTGTGCTTCCGACTCAACTGCTGCGACGCCACGCAGGCCGGGGTCGCACCAGATGCACCACCCCAGGAGACGGCAGCCGGCGGGGGCGGCCCCCGGGTGCGAGATGTGCAGGGTGAGCAAGAGGCGGTCCTTTCCGACACCCTCCCAGCCTCTGCCTCTGCCGGCGGTGCGGCTCCGGCGGGTGTGGAGATCCCGCCGGAGGTCCTTGCGCAGGTGCCACCAGATATCCTCGCCAACCCCACCCCTGAGAACCTCGCCAGACTCCCCCCACAGGTGGTCAGCCAGCTGCCGCCAGAGACGCAGGCTCGGCTACGTGAGTATATTGCCAGTGGAGGCACAAGTACCAGCACCAGCACCAGCACCACTTCAGCAGCACCAACGACTTCTGGCCCCGCCTCAAGCACTAGCGGCACAACGGACTCCACCACCACCACGGCCGCTCCAGGGTCGAGTGGGCCCGCCACCACGACCGCCTCCGCCTCGGCTGGCTCAGACGGGTCAGGTGATGGCCTGGACCCTTACTACAGCTACTTCCGACCTGATGGGTCAGTGTTCCGTCCTGGAGGCGGCAATGGCAGCGACGGCAGCAACACAACCACGACGGAGGGCCCCACTGCGCAGACGTCCGCCAGCAACGTGACGGCAGCCGACGACAACGAGGTCCTTCTTAATCGGCTGGTGGAGCTGCTGCAGCAGCTGCGCGACCAGCTGCCGGCAGAAGCCACCTCACCGCCGGCAACCGAGGAGGGAGAAGACACTACCGCCAGCACCAGCACCACCACCAGCAGCACTGAGGCCCCCTCTGGTGCCAATGACGATGAGGAGCAGGAACAGCCCACGACCTCTGCCAGGGGCAATGGCACAGACGCTAACGCAGACGCCGGCCTCTCCCTCGACGCGCGTCTCACTCGAGTGCTGAATCTGCTGACGGACGTGAGGCAACGCAATGGCTCCACGGCAGCCGACCTCACCGGTCCCGAGGGGGACGAGATCGTCCAGCGGCTGGAGGACATCCTCGACGAGGTCGAGACCGATAGACAGGGAGAGGGAGAGGGACAGGGAGAGGGAGAGGGGGAGGGGGATGGAGAGAGTCCGACCTCCGTCTCTGCCCGCGCAGAGGCCCGCGGCAGGCCTGAATCCGAAGCCGCATCCGAAGCCGATGAAGACAATGAGGAGTCAAGTGACGCCGCTTCGGAGCTGGTGCGGCTTGAACAGCTGCTGGAGGACTTCAACGGGCGCTTCCCGGCACAGCGGATCCCGCTCGACACGGACGCTGAGGACGCTGCGACCGTCGACCGTCTGAACATGCTACTTGACGAGTTCCAGCAGCGGTATCCCGAGGTGGTCGATCGGATGAATGCGCTGCTCCAGGAGGAGACGGGCAACGCGACGGGCAGCCCGTTCGCAGTGGACTTCTCGCCGTCGGCCAATGTGAGCTTTCTACCCGACCGTGGCGAGACCGACCAGATCGCCCAGGACGTCACCAACGCGAACCTGTCTCTGCTCGGCAGGCAGCTGCAGCTCTTCTGGCGGGAGATCCAGGCGCTCAACGCCTCTATCGAGGAGGCAGTCGACTCACCCGCATCCGACGATGTCGACCCCCAGAGCATCGCACTGTTCGGGGCACTCTTCTCGCCCTATGCCAACGACACCTCATCCAACGAAACGACGCTCGCCGTGTTGAACGAGCGGTTTGAGCAGCTGCTGGAGGCGGAGAGTGAGGAGGAGGTGGCTGCCCGTGCTGAGACGCTGCGGACGCTCATCGAGGAGGTTTTGGTGGACGTCGACACGTCGGCTTCATCGGATGCCGCCGAGACTACTGAGTCGTCCAGTGCGGAGGAGGCGAGCGACTTGGTGAGTCGGCTGAGCACAGTGCTGGAGTCTCTCGTGGCGGCGCGGCCAGAGCCAGAACCAGAAAGGTAGACGAGCATGGAGGGGGGCTGTCTGTGTGAGGCTTTTTGCGGTCGAAGGGGTGTGTTGGTCAGTCACATGTTGATCCATTTACGCAGGCAGGCAGGTCAGTAATGAAGATGGGTTGTGGGTGGGGAAGGGGAGGGTAGGGGGGGTTTACGTAGTCGGCCAGTGCATCCATCCATCTATTTCGATTCGATGTGCCTGTCTGCAATTATGTATTCCTTTTGCCCACCCGATAGACAGCTCTAATGGCGGGTTTTGTGGGTGGGTTAGTTAGTCCGGCCGCCCCGTCGATCCGGCTGGGTATGTGGTGCGGTGCGGCACTGTTCTCGTCTGTCTGCCTGTCTGTCTGTCCGTCTGTCTGTCTATGTGCCTGTCTGCTTGTCTGGGTTTTTATACCTTTTCATCATTGCATCATTGCATCATAATATTATATAATATCGCCGCATGTTTGTGCAGGTCATCTCAGGTCGGCACCTATCTATCTCCCTATCTATCCATCTTTGTGTCTGTGTGTCTGTGTGCGTATGTAGGCGCTTCCATGCGTGTCACTCAATTGAACGAGCGGGCGTTGGGGCAGGGTGGTGGGGTGGGGTGGTATTTTGTAATGGCTACAGACGCGTCGGTTGCAGTCATTTTTGATGTGCCATATATAGGACAGACAGGTTGATGTTATGTTACATGTTCCATGGTGCGTGCGTGTTGTTGAATGATCACTCAGACATGTCATGCCAGAGGGACAGACAGACGACGTGATCGATGGATGTTTTGGATGAGTGAGTGAGGCATTCATTCATTTATCAGCCGTTGTTCATAGTATTTACACACCTGCATGTAGGTACCTATGTGTGTGTGTCTGTGTGTGCGTCGATCACCTAAACCCGTCAACATGACCAACCGCGGCACACACACACACACACATACATCTTTAACACCACTACCACTCACTCTAGAGAAGCTTTCCCCACACCACGGTCATGACACAATCCCGTCCTGTCGGCCTTGTCCTTCCTGTTTCCACCTCTTGCCGTCATCACCGTGACCCGACGAGGCCGCCATGCCCCACCCACCCTCATCCCGATCTACCTCCTCCTCCCTGCCCCTCTTCAGCCCTCTGGCGTCTTGCTGCTGCTGCTGCTGCTGCTGGTTCTCTTGCTGCTGCAGGACGGCAGCAGGATTGCCCTCCTCTGATGCCTCCATCGACTCGTCATGGTCACGGTCACCCGCATCACCATCCCCGGCCCGCCTGCGGGCCGCCTTGCGAATTCGGTACTTCATGGCCTTCGTCACCACAGGCTGCGGCTCGCCCGTCAGGATCTCTGTCAGAAGCGATTTACCTACATCATAGGAAACGCGCAGCGCAGAGAGCTTGGATGGATGGATGGATGGATGGATGGATGTGGTGGGGGACACTCTTAAGAAGTGGACACCCATCCCACCTGCGGCTTTGAGGGTCCACTTGAGCTTCTTCTCCCTCGTCTGTTCCAGTTGCCTCTTGTTGTCATCGGACGGCAGCGGCAACGATATGGCGTCAATGGCCTCCAACACCGGCATGCCGCCATCGAAACTCGCCCTGCAGAAGGGAAGGAAGCAACAGACATGCAGGAGAACAAACACAAACAAGGGCAGATCTGATCAGCTTGTGTAAGTTGATGGCGTCGTGTTTTCCTCCCTGTTTTCCCTGCCTGAATCGGTTCCTCTCGTCTGGTGGGAGGGTGTTGAGGGCGGCGATGGCTCTTTTCTTGCGCCCCTCCCTCTCACCCTGACAACGGGACATCGAGCGAACCAACCACTCGAATGACTGACTGGTTCAAGCCTCAACTTTTCTCCCTTCTACGGTACTGCATCCGCGAGGCATACAACGTCGACAGAAGAGCCTTCACACGGACACACAAACCCCTCAGGTCTTGCGAGCCTAAAACCACTTGGCAGGAACTGCGAGCGCAGTGCAAGCAGCCCCACAGGAGCCTCCCGATGTGACAGTCGAGTCGCGAGTTTGCTCCATCCCTCGTGTGGCTGTTTGGGTAGTGGTTGTGTCGGGTCGGGGTGTTGATTCGTCAGTCAATCTACATGAGATGCTCCTCATTCTCCAATAGCCCCGGCAAGCGCAAGTCCGAGGAAGGAGAGGACGGACAGGCTGACGGGATCAAACGTCACAAGGTCAGAGAGAGAGAGAGGGGGGGAGGGAGGAAACACACACACACACACAGCCAACCAGACAGACAGGCAGATCACACACAGAGAGGAAGAGGCCAGGCCTCTGCTGATGGATGGATGGGCTGCAGGCAGAAACAAACAGACGTCTTATTCATCAGTCTTGTCATGTGTCGAACATGGGCTTCGTGTTGTGTTGTGTTGTGTGTGTTGCTGCTATTCATAGGTTCTTCCTATGGCGCTTCCCAACGGTGCTGCGTCTTCCTCGCCGCGGGATGGCAGCGGGCTGCCCTACTCGCGCAACGCCCCAGACCACTGGGAGGGGCTGCCGCGACGAGAGCTCATCCTACTCATACTTCAAACACTCGACGCACTCGGCTACAGGTAGGTGCGCTGTGAAAGCCTCACCCAGCCAACCACACACACACACGCCCCGTGTGTGGTGGTGGTGGTTTGTGTGCTGTGTCAGGAATGCGATGGATGTGCTGGAGAGTGAGTCTGGTATGGTGTTGGAGGGTGTGGACGTCAAGAGCCTGCACGAGTCGGTGCTCAAGGGCAACTGGCGAGGCGTGAGGGAGGCACTCAGCAAACTCAACTTCCAGGACCCCGTCGGACAGGTGGGAGGGAGGGAGGGAATGGCGCACACACACACACACACGCCCACAGAGAGAAAGAGGGAGGGAGAGTGATGTGGTTGGTGGTTTGTGTGTTCAGGCGTGTCACTTCCTTGTCCTGGAGCAGAAGTACTTAGGTACGTGTGTGTGTGTGTGTGTGTGTGTGCAGATGGGGGTGGCGGACGGGCGATGAGGGATTGGGGTGTGTGTGTGTGTGAATCAGAGCTGCTCTACGACAAGCAGATTTTTGACGCCCTCGACTGCCTCAGAAGTGAGTGAGAACCAACCATTACATGCCGGGCTGGAGGATACCGAGACGGTCCGTTGTTCTGTGCTGTGCTGTGTTGTGCTGTGTTGTGTTGTGTTGTGATGTGTTGTGTGCAGGTGAGTTGGCTGATGCGTGTTTCGACGCCGAGTCGACCGACCGCCTCCACAAGTGCAGCAGGTAGGTGACTAACGGAACGGCCCGCGTCGCGTGTGAACCACTGTCGTGTGATGTGTTGGCTGCATTGCGTTGCGTGGCGTGGTGTGTCATGTCAGTTACCTGATGTGTCAGGATCCAGATGACCTGCAGGGGAGGGCAGAGTGGACCTACAAGGTAAGGAGCTGACATCCAGCATATGCATCGGCATGGGCAGAAATGGTGCGCGCTATCATCGTGTGTGTGTCTGTCGTGTGTGTTGTGTGGCTGCTGTAGGGTTCTCGTGAGCTGCTGTGGCAGCGGATGGTGGACCTCATCCCGCCCGAAGTGGTCGTTCCGCCGAGGAGGCTCGCCGTAGGACAGAGCAGGACAAGGAAGGGCAGACGATCCTGCTCATGGTGTGGGGGTGTGGTGTGTGTTGGTCAGGTGCTGCTCCATCAAGCGTGGAAGCTGCAAGAGGTGGGGCTCGGGCTTGGGCTCCGGCTTGGGCTTGGGATTGTGTGTGCAGCTGCATTTGTGTGTGTGGTGTGCGTTGGTTGTGTTGCCAGATGCACTGTGTGTACCACAACAGGAACACCAGCTCTTTCAGCCTACTGCAGGTAAGCTAGCCAGCCAGCCAGACAGGCACACAGGCAGACAGACAGGCAGACAGACAGACACCTGATCCATTCATTCATTTGGTTGGTGGTGTGGCCTTGATTGACTCTGTGTCAGGACCACACCTGTCCGCAGGGCACTTTGCCCACCCACTGTGTGGCCACGCTGGACGAACACACAGACGAGGTCACACATCACACACACATGCCCTAACAATACCGGCGAGCGTAGTGTGTCTGATGCATGTCTGTGTGTGTGTGTGTGTGTGTGCAGGTGTGGTTCGTCGCCATCTCTCACAACGGCCGATACATTGGTGGGCGGAGGAGGGACCCATCAATGTATCTGAGTGTCTGTGTGTGTGTGTGTGTGTGTGATTTCATCAGCGTCGTCGTCCAAGGACAAGACCGTCATCATCTGGGAATGCCAGGGCACCGCATTCACAAAGGTCTGGCGGGATGCACCCACACCCAAAGACACAGAACGACACACCCACTGTGCGCCGTCCTGTGCTGTGCTGTGCTGTCTGTGTCGTGTGATCCATGTGCCTGTCGATGCGATCAGGTTCAGCACCTTATCGGCCACAGCGACGCCAGCAGCTTCATAGCCTGGTCCCCCGACGACGCGCACATCGCCACCGCGTCAAACGACAAGACCGTCAGGGTGTGGGCCTCCGACACTGCCAAGTGCGTCAGGGTCATCACCAAACACACAGGTGAAGCCATACATGACATGAGCCCGCAAGCCCGTGTGTGTGTGTGTGTGTGTGTGAGGTCCGGATGGTTGTGTGGATGCGATGCGTGTGTCCGACAGAGTCTGTGGCGAGCGTGTGTTGGCTGCAAGACAACGAGCGGTTCGTGTCTGCCGGCATCGACAAGTGCATCTACATGTGGAACCTCAATGACCCCACCGAAGTGAGTGGGCAGAGCAACCAGCCGACACGCATCGGTGTGTGTGTGCTGATCCATCCATCCATCCATCCACCGATTGGTCAGGAGCAGCAGTGGATGTTCTCATCGCGCATCCAGGACGTAGCCGTCACAAGTAGGCAGGCACATCGTGCCACGTCACGCACGAGTGGTGCATTCATTTGCCATTCATTCATTGTGTCTGTCCATGCAATGCTTTCTTCCGTCCGTCAGGCGACGGCAAGAAGATGCTCGTGGTGACGTCGGAGAAGAGCATCAAAGTCATCGACCTGCACTCCAAGAGGGAACTCTTCAGGTGTAGCTGATGTGGGTGGGACTCATCCAGCCATCCATCCATCCATCCGCGTGTGTGTGTGTGTGTGTGTGGCCATCCATTTAGTCTGCCCGAGTCGGATCCCGTGACGTCCGTGACGGTCTCGTCGATAGCTGACCAGGTGCTGGTCAACATCTCCCACCAGACGCCAGTCATTCGCCTCTGGGACCTCACAGAAAGGAGAATTGTCCAGGTGCCTACTATCGTGTGCCTGTGGGGTGGGTGTGGGGCACCACAGTGGATGGAATTCATTTATTCATTCTCTCTCTCTCTCTCTTTCTTTCTCTGTGCGTGTGTGTGTTTAGCGGTATCGTGGCCACTATCAGGGGCGGTTTGTGGTGAGGTCGTGTTTCGGCGGTCCGCAGGAGACGTACGTCATCAGCGGGTCGGAGGACACCCAGGTGTACATCTGGCACCGACACTTCGGCTCGCTGCTGGAGGTCCTGCAGGGACACGCTGCCACCGTCAACTGTATTGCCTGGCCACCCAACAGCCCTTGGTTGGTTCGGTGGACACACACGCAGAGAGACAGAGCGAGAGAGTGAGAATGGGCGTGTTGTTGCGGCTTTGTGTGTGGTTTCAGGATGTTGACGGCGTCGGACGACCAGACCCTCAGAGTCTGGAGCACCAAGCGTCAGCCAGCACAGCCAACACGAAACGACACACGAGGAAATAACAATCGATCCCTCATGTGTGGTGTGAATGTATGCAGCGACGATCGAGGCGACTCTCGGTCTAAAGCCCCTCCCCCCTGCAGCCATGGACCTCCTCAACGGCAGCAGTGGCGCTGCGGCCGCATCGGCATCATCCCGAGGGCTGCAGCAGGCCAACGGCACCGCCGACCACGGCAGCCCCCCACACCTGTCCAACGGTGAGTACTGCACACCCCTGGCCGTACCGTGCCTGGGCGGCCCCCACCCACCCCCTGACACATCCACATCATCATCCGCACCCACCCCTTCCACCTCCACACCCACACCATTGCCACATGGGGGGTCCGCTTGGGGGGACACCACCAGCAGCACCAGCAGCAGCATGATGGTGGTGGATTACGTGCCAACAGTGCCGCCACAGCCACAGCCGCAGCCCCAGCCACAGCTGCACCTGCACCTGCCATGGGTGCATCCCCCGACCCGGCCACACCCCTTTGCGGACCCCGTGCCGTCCCACGTGCCATGGCAGCCGATGTCGACCATTCCATTCCCCCCTGTTATACCCATGGCCACCATGGGGCGTGTGGTGCAGCCGTCGTCGAGCCCGCCCGGCCAGCGGCATGCTTTGGCGCCGTCGGCGTCATCTGACAGCCAACAAGGTCAACAGACCACCGACCGGGCGTGTCGTTGTTGATGGTGTGGTGTCTGTGTGTGATGGAACAACCGGAAGACGCCTGTAGAACGAACGAACGACCGAACGGCACAGCACTCACACCACACACGGCAATTGGGGGGCAACCGATGAGGGGGAGGGAGGGGGCGACCTGCGGCGTGCGTAGCATGAGACCGGCACGGCAGCATGCCATGCATGTGTTAGCCGCTAACATATCTGCACAACTAACTGTTGATGGTGTGGACTGTGCTATGTGTGGTGTGTGATGGTGTTTTGTGCCTCCCCTCTCTCTGATTGATGGCTGTTGTCGTCTCTGTTGATGTGGATGTGTGTGTGCAGGTACCAGCAGGTGACGACGAAGGAGCGGCGGGCGCGCCGCGCCCTCGCTTCTGGGCGATCGATGTCTGCCCGTCTGTCTGTCTGTCTGTTTGTGTAAGTGTAAGTAACCTCAGAGACGGTAGGCATTGTAGAGTGGATGGATGGGCGGCGGGCTGGCTGGTGATGTAGCCAGCCGTGCCGTGCTCTGCCGTGCTGTGGGTATACAGTCACCTCACCCACACAGTGACCCTTGTAGAGCACATGACATGGAAAAGACTCTGCGTGTGTGTCGATGATCGACGATCCTAGAATGCGCTTGTATGTGTATGTGTGTGTGTATCCATCCATCCATCCACCCACCATCTCACACGCCACACACATCTCATCTCACGTCTCATTATTCCGTCCCCCCGAACCCCCTCAGCGCCTTAGCCTTAGCCCTCCCCCTCTCCCTCTCCCGCTCAGCCCGCCGCCGCCCCTCCCTGTTGCTGGGACCATCCTCATCCAAACCTGAGTCTTCAACCTCACTATCAGCACCAGCACCAGTACCAGCAGTGTCACCTAATCGTGCGATAGACGCCTTCTCGGCGTCTCCGCTGGCCGCAACGAGATTGCGGTCTGTGGTGAGGAGTGTGCCGCCTTGTGTGCGGAGGTCGTCGGCTGCTTGCCGGGTCTCGACGGTTCCGGAGCGCTTCTTGCTGACCGCCTGGGCCTGAGAAGGAAACAGAGGATTGATTGAGAGAGAGGTGTCGTGGTGTGGGTGTGTGGGTTGTTACGGTGATTTCTGCAGCTCTTGTTTTTGAGGCTGCGGCTGAGTCGACGAGGTCGCGGTAGATGTTGACGGGACCCTCGGACCGCAAGGCCAAGTACTCGGACACCCTGACACACACAGGGGGAAAGGTGGATGGCTGGATGGCTGCTCATTTACTTACTTGTTGAGTTCTGGTTTGGTGACGCCGCACTCGAACATGTATGCGTCACTCTCAGCCACAAACTGCCACGACTCCTCATCCAGCACTACCTGAGTGAGGGACACACACACACACACACATACAGCAGTGGATGTCTCTGTGCGTCGGTCGGTGTGTCGGTGTGTCGGTGCTGTCTGTCTGTCAGTGTCTGTCCGACCCGCTCGATTTGGCATCGTTTGGTGTCCATGCGTTTTGCCATGAGGTCCTCCGGGCTGAACCCCCTCTCCTCGTCCCAGTCGAACTGAGTCTCGGCACGCTCCACAGCGGAACCAGGCTCCAACGCCTACCATGCCATCACACCCACCCACACACACCCACACCCACATCCACACCCACACCCACACCCACGAATGGCGTGTGTCATCCATCCCTCCATGTGCCTCGGTGGCCTGCTCGCGTACCTGCAGTGTGGTGTTGGAGACGCCCATCTCCCTCAGCTGCCTTTTCATGTCCTCATCGAATGTGTCGTCGCCGAATGGCCGCCAGGCCGGCACGAACTGCTCGCCGTAGAGGGCGTGCATCGCCGTGCCCACGGTGTAGGGCCGGTAGTAGTTCCACAGGTGCGTCATCTCGCGGATCAGCAGGTACGCCAGCAGACCGTAGTCAGCCACAACCGGGTTCAGCTGTGCAGAGAGAGAGAGAGAGAGAGGTGCATCTGTGTGCGTGTGTGTGGCGGGGGGTGTTCAGTGTTCTCGTACCCAGATGGAGCTGATGTTGGTTTTGCCGACTTGGATCCTGACGTCCGATAGGCCCTTGAGGTCGGGTCGCCACTCGACGGGCACCCACGGCAGCGCACCGTCAAACAAGACCTCGTTCAACACGCCATACATCCCCCGCACCACGGCGTCTCGATTCCCAGCCCCAAGCTGCCCGAAATCCTTCTTCCTCGGCAGTTTTCTGGCGGCATCTCTCTTCCTCTGGTCGACAGCGCCATCCTGGTCACCATAGCCGGCCACCCCGAGGTCAGCGAGCTCCGCGTTTGTGTCGGCGTGTGACGGGGGTTGCTGCCCTTTGGCGATGGCTGTGGTGAGCATGATGTTCCGGAGGTCGTCGAAGACCTGCTCGACCATGAAGGTGTTCTCCAGGAACTGACGCTTGAGCTCTTTGTCGTCGATGGCGCTTTCTATGGTCAGGTCGTACCATGCCTTCACACACGCCTACACACACACACACACACACACAGAGAGAGAGAGAGAGATGCATGGCGACAGTCAGTCCTACCGAGCTAAGCCCTACCTGTTTGAATGCGTTTTCCATGAAGGCGATCATCTTCATGCTGGCATTGTACCGCTCCCCCTCCGACAGCTCCCTCCCCGCCAGGCCCTCCTGCTCCACAGCAAACGCCTCAGCCAAGTACAGCATGCTCGGCAGACCCGTGTACATGAGCCTCTCAGCCTCGATGGGGCACTCCGCCACCAAAGCCGCCGCCAGCTCGCGGACCGGCAGCGTCATGCCGAGAAAGGGCTTCAGGTACCGACGGGGGGCTCCGGGTCTGTCCTCCTCGTCGTCTTTCTCCTGCTCTTGCTCTTGCTCTTGCGCATCAGGCAGGAATCGCCACGCCTCTCGGGGGTCGTGCCGCCTGATGCATGGATGGATTGATGACACACAGAGAGAGTGCGCTGGATGGATGCGCGGTTGGGGGCGTGGGTGTGGGTGTGGGCTGACCTGACGGCTTCGTTGATGATGTCAAGCGCACGGTCGGCGGGAAACCCCTTGGCAATGAGACTCAGGTACCACTGACCAAACAATACACACAGCACAGACACACCCCACCCCATCAGCACACCTCCCGCCCTCCCCACATCCCTTGCCCACGTCAGCAGTCTCCTCGTCGTCCTGGTCCTCCTCTCTCTCATACGCCGCCAGCTCGGTGTCGTTCATCAGCAAAGTGAGATCGGCGCTCCAGTCGAAGTGGAACGGCCAGTCGTTGATCTCGGCCTTCTCGCGCAGCTCCTGACGCTTGATGCCGAACCGAGTCGGCTCGAACAGCGACACGGCGCTCTGCCCGATGCCCATCTGACACACACAAGCGATGCGTGTGTGTGCGTGTCTGTGTGTAGGGGGGGAGAGGGCACCTGTGGGTCAAGGAAGTGGACAGTGGAGAGCTCCCATACGGTGAGCATCTGTTCGAGGAGGGTGTGGGCGAGGAGGGGGATGTACTTGTCGTCGGCGAAGAGCCGGCCGCTCAGCCTTATCCGGGGCGGCCGAGGGCGGTCCAACACGTAATGGGTATACCCTGCACATACAAAGATATGCACAGCACACCCACATGTTGTGGGTGATGCGTTTGTTGTCCGTCCTACCTACCCAGGCTGTGCATGTGGTCGTCTATGTCGATGGGCACCTTGAGCAGGGTGCCGTCGAAGCAAGCCTGGTTGAAGAACTCATAAAGAAACATGGCCGCCTGCGTCCGGTTCGTCAAGTCCAGCCCTTCTGACGGGAATCCCACTACACACACACACACACCCCTCCCTGATATCCTCCCCTTTGCCCCCATCTCTGTGTTGCCAACATACGCATAAAGTCGACAATGTCTTCCTCCGTCTTGTTTTCGGGCCGATAGCCCCGTTTGCCGCTCTCCTCCAGCACGCCCACGTCATACTTTGTCGGCAGCGGGAAGCCCCTGGCGGTGCGGATGCGGTTGAGCAGCTCGTGGACGATGATGAGCGACTGCATGTACAGCAGCGAGGCCTGCTGGCTGTGCGCCGCGTCGGCGTACCGCAACGCCTCGTGCTGCGAGACTCCCATGTACTGCTCACACCCCTGACAGACAAGACAACCAACGACACGCTCCATCCATCCATCCAGCCAGCCAGCCAGCCATCCGTGTGTCTGAAGAATTTGTGTGTGGCCTCTGCATACATAGGCGAGGCAGTTTTCGGTGAAGTCGAGTTGTCGCCTGCCCAGCCTCTGCAGCAGCTGCGCCCCGCCCGTGAGCAGCTTGGCCGTCTCCTCGAGACCGTAGCCCAGCATGCGGCCAGTGAGCTCGCGAACCGGCAGCCGGCCGGACTGCCATAGGGCGGATGACTCTCGGCGCCTGTTGGTCGGACATTACATGCGTCGTGTGCTGTGCTGTGCTGTGCTGTGCTGTGTCGGTGACCGACCCACCTGGCAGAGTTGGTGCATATCTCGATGGCTCGTTCAGGCGCCACACCGCTCTCAATCAGCGAGTTGTAAAGGTCAAAGGAGCTCTTGTCCTTCGTGCTCTCCACGTACCGCCACTCCTCCTCGCTGCTCATGCCGTAGTCGCCCGTCTGTCCGAAGAACAGGTTGAAGTCCAGCCCCTCGTCGTCACCCTCCGGCCCCTCAACGAACTCGTAGCACTCAAGCTCCTTCTGCTTGTAGAGGACGCTGTGCACGTTCGGCCGCGGGCGGGAGGTGTCGTCCAGCTCGCTCTCATGAAAGGGCGGCGGTGGGGGGAAATCGAAGTCGACGGATAAATCGGACAGATCTTCTCCCTCGCTCTCTGCGTCGGTGGGAGGGGTGACGATTGGGGTGGAGTGGTAGGCGTGAGAGGGGGAGTTGACCAGGGCGAACAGCTCAAGCATCGCGCTCAAGACCGTGCACCTGATCCACACACAGAAGTATATACCACAACACGCCCGCCACACATGCATCCATCCATCAAGCAAGGGGCATGTGTGTCGTCCTCCCTACCCGAAAAGTGGTGATGCGTTGATGCCAGCGTGCAGCCTGAGAGTGGGGTACTCGAGCCGCCGCGACACCTCCCACTCGTGGAGGTAACTGGGGGAGGGGTCCCACACCACACTCAGCTGAGAGGCGGGGGGCAGACCTAACGGGCCATCACCATCGCCACCGCCGTCACCATTCCGGTTGCTCTCTTCACCAGCCTCATCCTCCGATGACGCACCATCCGAAAAACACCTGCACGGCAGACAGGCAGACAACAGATGCACCCATCGAATCCATGCACATGACACTACCATGCCATACAGCCACGAGTAAGAAGGCACCTTTGCCTGAAGTACTCATAGTACATGCTGAAGGCCTCCTCTCTGTTGCTGTCCTCAATGGAGTCCATGGCGGGGTACGCCAGGTCCTCCAGGGGGCTGGTGGCGTGTCCGTGAGGGTGCCGCTGGGCCAGCCGCCGCCTCACCTTGCCGAATACGCGGCTCGTCACGTTGTGCCGGGAAGAGAACCACTGCACCGAGTCCTCATCCGAAAACTGTCAGTCAACACACACCAGACGTGGCTCCCTCAGCTCTCCGTCCGCATATGCACTCCCACCTGTTTCTGCCGCCTTCTGGTGACGTCAAGCAGTGCAGATCTGAGCTGGTTCTCCGCCACATTGAGCACCCGCACGTCCAACCCCTTGACGCCCGTCACGCCCTCGAGCAATGGCGGCAGCCGCTCCTCGTCCAGGTAGGCCAGCAGCTTGTACGCGTCCACCGGCACCTCAGGCGGGTCGCTGCTCCAGCCGGCAAAGTGGCGGATGTCGATGGCTGGCTTTGGCCGCTCGTACTTGTCAGCCAGGCCGAGATTCGACTGAGTGGATTGATGGGACTCATCGCTTGTCGTCCGCTGTGTGGCGGCACGCGCAGACGTCCGCAGAGAGGGCCGACGGAGAAGGAACGAGGTGGCTGAGGGGAGATGGAAGGCTGTGGCTGGGACATTGTGGATGGAAACGAGCAGCAGCAGCAGGAGTATGTGCAGGGTAGAGATGAGCTTCATTCTCAGGGATGCGTCGTGTTAATGAGTGATAATGGATGCATGTGAGCAGAGACTCTTGCCTGCACGCTACATCCGGGGGGAAAGGACAGATCTCCCTTTCCCTTTGAGCTAAGCTCGCAGATGCCGTTTGCGAGCTTAGCTCTGCACAAAGGCAACAGCTGTTTTCCTCTGGCTGTGTGTCAGGTCTGTGAGCCCTCTCTGTTGCAGCTGCTCTGCACCATCATTCTCTTTATGGAGATCTCCATGAATGAATCATCTTAAGCGTGGAACACAGGCTGACCATCATTAAACTAAGGCTCTCAGCGGCTTCGTGTCACCAGCCGAATGAAGATAGCTATAGAGCTACGTACACACACAAGCAAAGACGCAGGTCGAAAAAACCTGAATGCATGGACGTACAGGACGCACGCAACTACCCTACTGTTTGCTGATGGCTGAGACCGCCACTCACTTCCCCAGAGTGGCGAAAAAACACCACCGAAGGCATGTAGGCCTCAACCATCAGCGCTTGCATTGTCACTTGTCGCCACGCTGGAGGCTGGTGATCGATTGGGGGCAGACACAGAGGAAGAGGACGAGGCTGAGAGCTCTGGTTGGTACGCACAGCCTGAGAGCTCTGGTCGGCACAGCGGCAGTGCGTACCACCAACGCTCTCACGCACATCCCCCCCGGTCCGCCTCCTCGACCAAACACAGGCACCAGCGAAGAGATTAGAAACACATCCACCATTCCCCAATCAATCCATTCGTGCGCGTGTGTAGCTGACATTGCAGGCAGACATCTTTCTAGCCATTCTTTCTGTCCGTGCGTGTGTTTGCGGTGCCTCCCAGGCCTCAGGGCCTCCTTTGCAAGAAACCAGCTGTGTTCGGTGAAGACACAGTTGGTTGCTGCACGAGGGGCCCCCTGACGTCTGGGGTGACAGCCACTCACACACACACAGAAGCGGACCCACAGACCGATAGGCAGACAGACGTTATCAGATGAGAGGTCAGCACGGGACGGTACGGTGCAAAACACCACCAAACAGACGGCCACTCACCCACAGCCCACAGACAGCCAATTGTTCTCTGGTCTTCTCTTCTCTGCTCTCAACACCAGCAGCTTGTGCCATGCCAGTGCATCAGCACCACCCGCCGCAACGCTGACCGGCAAAGACGTTTGACGGCCTTGCCGATCATGGTAGCGGCAGAGGACATGATACCCCAGCAAGGCAGCAAACTGACCGGAGGAGGCCACAAAAGTGGGCAACTAATACAATTGGCGGCACACGTCATTCGGCACGAACGAAGAAACGAGATTGCGAGAGATATAGGGAGGAAGCGATCAAGGGCAGGGAGACAGTAGGCAGGCAGGCAGACGACGGAAGCACTCCTCGCTCAATCAATGAATCGATCAAGGGATGAAAAGAGCACACCGCCCCCATTGATGTCATTGACGGCTGCGTGCCCAGGAGGACACCAACCGACCAACCAAGTGAGAAGGCAGGTAGGTATTTATGAGCCATAAAGGCTCATGTACACACACACACACACACACACACATACACACACACACACGCATACACACAAGCGCCCCCCACCGACTACAAAAGGCTGGATGGCTGCATCGATCAGCCTCCCTACCACATGCTGCTCACAACCTTCTTGAGCTGGTTATCCTGCACACAAGACAGACATACAGCGACACATACAAACATTGAGAGCCACCCAAAGAGATGGTGGCGTCCGTGTGTGTGTGTGTGTGTGCCTGTGTGTGTGGCGGCCTGCCTCACTTTGCCGAGGTTGGTCTTGAGCGTCTTGGAATACAGCCCCGCCTGCTTCCGGTAACCTGCACCACACACCACACCACACATGACCGATACATCCACCAATATGGCCGCCCAGGTCTGTCGATCCACGTGTGCTGTAGTTCCTTGTGTGGTGGTACCTACCGGAGAGGCACGATCCGCCCCCAACGCGAGCACAGCAGACCTCTGGGTTGCCGAGGCATTGCGGCGTTGCGTTGTCCGCTGTCTGCAGACGGCGGCCGGTGCTGTTGGTGGCGTCGCGTGACACAAAGTCGATCTCCTCCTCGTCGGGGCCGGTCAGCTTGACACCCTCTGACCATCACACAACACACCGACGGCCGATAGATGGAGAGATGCACAGAGGAGGGAGGGGTGGAGGGAAGGAGCGCACCTTTGTCAGCCATGATGGTGAAGCCGCCGGCCATGTGTAGGGTGATGGACTTGCCCGGGTCCTGCTCCATCCAGTCGACGCGAAAGAGCATCTCCTTGCCGCTGCTCAGCGTGTGCGCGAACTGGAGACGGACACACACATGGATGGAAGGGTGGCATTCCTTGTGTGTGTGTGTGTGTGTGTGTGGCGCACCGTGTTAACAGTGTCGTAGTCGCGGATTGTCATGTCGCCGCTCGCCGGGTCCAGGAGGTTCGTGTCGGCAAAGTTGGGATGAGTGCCTGACAGAACACACGACACACGACACATCACAAAGAGGCGCACACGCACACACACACACACACCCTCTCTCTCCCTATCTGTGTGTGCGTGTGGCACTGTGGTGTGCTTACGGATGGAGATGCTGCCGTCGGATGTCTCGAGCAGGCCGTTGTTGTGTCTAACCCTGATGTCGTCGAGGAGCTTGACCGCCGCGGCAGTCAGGCCGAACATGACAAGCACCGTGGCGACCCACAGGATGATTATCGCCACCACGAGACACCGCATCCTCTTGACGGAGTTCTGCGAATTAACCACCTGCAGAGCACACACGCGATAGCACCCCCCCACACACGCACCCCCGCCTCTTTGTGCCGGTCCCTTGCATGCGCTGCGCACCTGTTTGGCAGCGGCGACAACGTCGTGGAGGTCGTACTTGCCGTCGGCGTCCTTATCCATACCCTGCAGGCACCCAACCCACCCACCCACCCACACACACACACACCCGCCCCTCACTCATGCGCGAGCGTCCTTGTGACGTCCCGCCGTGTGTGTGCGTGTGGTTGCCCTGCCAACCTTGAGGACATTGAGGATCTGCTTGCTTTCCCTGTCGTTGCCTGTGACGGCGTCGACAAATTCGCGGGTGTTTCTCTTCGGTGTGCTTTCGTCGTTGATCTTCATGGCGCTGGCGGATCACAGGAGGAGCAGGGAGAGGCTGTAGGCACGTGGGCTATGCTAGAGAGAGGCTCTTTCGCTCGAACAAGCGAAAGAGGCGAATTCGCTGCGAAAGATCTCAGACCCTTGGCGCGAGACGATCGCGCGGTCACGAAGTGGAAAGTGATGGAAATGGATCTGCGGCGCCGTTGCGGGAAGGCGAGGAGGGGGGCAGAGGCATGGGCTCATGGCGAAGTGGGAGATCCGCCGTGAAAAGTGACACAAGTGACAAGTAACTGTCTCTGTGTGTGCGTCTGTGTGCATCTGAGTGATGTTGTGAGCACATCGCATTTCACATGGCCTTTGTTGCTTCACATCGAAATCCCGTTGATGTGCACCAAGAGGGTCAGTCTCATGAAACGACCGGGAGTGTGCTCGCTTCCGAAGAGGACGACGACATGAAATAAGTGCTCGATTGCTGATGACCAAGCACCCAAATCATCCCGCCCACCACAACGCGAGCGAGGCACACAACGACACACCGACGGGCAAGCAAAAAGATCATAAGATCATATCGACTCGGCGAAACACACCACTCTCTTCTCTTGGCCGCAAACTCAAGTGTGCCGCCCAGCTGAGGCCACGTCAGCCTTGTCTGCGTGTCGGGAGGACAGGGCAGTGTCACGACACGTCCCGTCCAGCCGACACGAAGAGGTAGTCGACATGAAACCACAGCGAAACAGGCACCCTGTGATCGGCAGACAGGAAACAGGCAGGCAGACTGAAAGGACAAAGGAAAAAGGTAAGAAAAAGAACAGAGAGTGCTCCTCATCGGCATGTCGACGGATCGGCCCAGGACCCGTCGTCCGTTCCGTCCCGTTGCGTGTCATCGCTACGGCTACATATCAACATGTCCCGCCCTCTGTTTCAGAGAGCAGGAGCAGTCAGTCGTCATTTACAAGCAGTGGGGGCGCACAAGGAAACAAAATGAACACAAAAAATGCCATCATCACCATCATCGCCATCATCGTCATCATCATGCGATCGTCCGCCTTCCTTTCTTCCACCCCCGCACTCCCTCCCGCCCCTGTCCATCTGATCTCTCGATGGACGGGCACCAAACACGGGGGAGGGGAGGGCGAGGGCGAGGGTGGAAGGGGGCATCAGAGCCGCTCACTAACAATCCAATCCACACAGACAGACGGACGCACACACACATCCATACGTCCACGCACAGCAATCAAGGACCAGCGAGCAGCCAAAACCCCCGTGTTACACACATTGATTGATACACACTAGGCGATATGCCAGCACTACCCCCCTCCCCTCCCTCCCTCCCACCCGCCACCGCATCGCTAAGCATCCATCCTATAAACCAAAAAAGGCCGACCGTCAACAAATTATCCACCCCCACCCCCACCCACCCACCCATCACCCTATCCCTCCTAC